GCCACTCAGTATGTATGTGTGTGTGTGTGTGTGTGTGTGTGTATATATATATATCCTTTAATTCACATTTTATCAAGGACTGAGAAACCAGCAACTATCCACAGCAAAGGTTAAGAACTCACAGGTGTGCTAAGGGCCACAGCCCACCACCAGACAAGGGGGCTCCAGGCCTCTTCAGAAGAGGATCGCTGGAGAAGACAATTACAGTTGCTTCTTCCCTTATTACACACAACAATTGGGCTGTGGCTTGGCCAAGAAGTTGACTTGACATACTAAAAATGGTATTCTAAAAATGCACAAGGGATACTGGGTTGGAGATGCTATCATCTTAAGTGTCAAAGTCTCCACGAAGTCTTCCCAATTCCCCCAGGCTGTCCATCCCCAGCACCCTGTCTGGGTGAGCCTGTCATATCACCTAGCATCACTTAGGATAAAAGGACATGTTTCCCAAGAGCCCCAAGGCCACCTCTCATTCACCTTTCCGTCCACAGCTCAGCACTTGGCACATTGGAGACACCACTAAATGTTGACTGAACTGAAAACTGAGGTGCCCTGACACAGTCACACTGAGGTGGGCGCTGATTTCAAGGCAATTTCAGAACACAAGTGTCCAGACCAGGGCTAAAAAAATGGCTTGTGCCAATGCATAACCACTTTTAACATGCTTAACAAAGACATTCTTGAAGTTAACACCACTAGAGGGTTTTAATTACAAAGGAGCCATAGTTAGCTTGGCAAGTACCCGTGGAAGTGGCTGGAGACAGAAAATCCAGCTTAGGGGTATGGCGGTCAAAGGTAAATCCTATCTGTGCGCCAGGCAGCCATGCAACACCAGAGCCCAGGAGGCGGTAAAAATCCAGGGATGCAGAAGAGAATAATGGGGCCAAATGCCAAAACAACAGCATAAAAAAGCTTGGTGAAAAGGGTCTGAGGAAGGAGCACCTGTGCTACAAGTTCACGGGGAGCTGGCTGCTGGGTGCTAACCACGAAACTCCGAGAATGAATTACAAGAACTAAAACTCTGATCTGGGAAGACTAGCGTAGGAGACTGTGATGCGGTTCTGATATGCAATAAATCTTTAAGTCGGTGAGCCATGCTCACTGGTGATTTTTCTTCATCTTTCCTGCACTCCAGCTGCCTCACGTGACAAAAGCCAGCATCTTCTTTTTATTTGCATTTGGACAGTGTGTGTGTGTGTGTGTGTGTGTTTGTGTGTGTGTGTGTGTGTAAATAAAATTTGGGGTTCACTAAATCACATCCTAAAGCATTGCAACATCTGCCATCATAAGAAACCCTGGCGAGTGATTCTGTCAAACAGCCTTTTATAAAGTGAAGAAAGCTTTTAGGGTGCAAACTACCCTCCCCCCCACACCACCCCAAGAGCTCCACCAGGTGTAGTAAGTCAGCATTCCTGCCCCGACCTGTTCAGGTTTATTCACCACGAATGCACTTTACTCAGTTGGCATTATTCACCCCAGAAACACCACTTAAGCCTGTCGCACAAACCTGACAGAAGCAATACATTTTACAAACCGACCATCCCCAGGGAAGTTCCCAAGGAGAACATCCCTCTCCCAGATCAGAGATGCAAAATGCGCCACATCCTCTCCACACACAAGCTGCCCACTCCAGAGGCAGCTTGCCCCCCTCTGCACTCCTCCCGGCTGGTCAGGCCTCCTCTCCCAGCTAAATAAAAACCAAGGAGCCTCAATCCTGGGCGGCAGCAACATTTTAATGCTATTTTAGACAACAGCTCTAAAGCACCGGAATGTTGGCTCCTTTTCCATGAATAAAACAAAACAAAACCCAAAAGGGTATTATCATAACAAAATGATATCCTATGGAGAGCACTGTGAGCCATAAAAAATAAAACTGCCATAAACTGAAACTGTCTCAAAATTAAACCTACAGAGGGAAGCATTAAACCCCAAGCCAGGGAGGCTCTGATATTCCCATCTAAAACCCTTACATGTTCCTAGTTCTCGGGTGAAGTCCGACGAATTTCTCCCACCCGGAAAGGCCTAAATGCTTTTTTTTGGAAGTCCGGGAATGTTCTTTTTCTCCCTTGAAACCTTCGAGATGGTCTGTAATATTTATTCATCTAAAGCCCAATCACTGCCCTGTCCTCAGTCACACCCAAAGATCCCCAAAGGCACCATCTGCCGCAGCGCACGGTGCACAGTAGGCGCCCCTTTAATGTGCAGATTTGATTTGATCAGATCTGGCCCCTGGGCTAGAAAGACGCGTTGGTAGCTGGACGCCCGGGTGGGGGAGGATAGCAGCGCCGGCCTAGCTCCCTTCTGGAGGGAGGCGGGGTGCAACCACCTGTGGGCGGGTGGCCGGG